AAACCAAGGCACTGTGAACTTAAGAGGCCACCATGGTTTCATAGCTTTGAGACCAACAAGAAATCACGGTGTTTCTAATTATAGGCCTACTATTAATAAATCTCAAAAGAGAAAGAAGGAATTTTAATCAAACACATTCCTTTCAATCAAATAAACAAAGGCACAGTTAAATGAACACAACTGGAAATTTCATATATTGGCAGTTTCTCAGTATTGAAGTGTTTACCATCAAATCATTTTTCTTACTAAAAGTTCATCACAATTTACTTCATCCCAATTAGCATATGGGCACAATATACTATCAAATGTTCTTTGATTGGGGAGCGGGGGAGGTCAAGGACTACTGTCAACCCTATATGTATATATATATTTGTATTGTATTTTAATCCTTGTACAATGTATTTTAATATATGTATTCTGTGGTAATATTTTTTAGTATATGAATTTTATGGTATGTAGTTTTGTAATGTGGTTTGACTGTATTGTATCTCGCCTTGAGTTGTGATGAGAGGTGGGTAACAAATTATCATCATCATCATCATCATCATCATCTCATAGCATCATAGAATAATAGAGACCACATGGGCCATCTAGTCCAACCCCCTGCCATGCAGGAAAAGTACTCCTGATGAATGGCCATCCAGCCTATGTTTAAAAGCTTCCAAGGATGAGTTTCCACCACACTCCGAGGCAGAGAGTTCCACTGTTGAACAGCTTGTATGATCAGGAAGTTCTTCCTAATGTTCAGGTGGAATATCCTTTCCTGTAATTTGAACCCATTGCTCCAAGTCCTAATTTCCTAGACAGCAAAAAACAAGCTTGCTCTCTCTTCCTCATGACATCCTTTCACATATTTATACCGGGCTATCATGTCTCCTCTCAACCTTCTCTTCTGCAGGCTAAACATATCCAGTTCTTTAAGATGCTCCTTATAGGGCATGGTCTCCAGACCATTGATCATCCATAACCGACAAGGGCTTAAGAAAGCTTATGAAAGCTGACTGGCACAACCTGGGGAATTACAGTCAGATACAGTGAAGACATCTGTCCTTGTGCTTTGCTACTCTACTGCTGAGTACGCATGCCCAGTGTGGAACACATCGCATCACACTAAAACTGTGGATGTGTAGCAGCCAATAAATGAAAGGATCAAGGCAGTGACATCCACGGCCCATCCCCTGTTCGGATTCCAGCCAGCACGCCAATGCCTTAAATCATGAAATAGTTTTCTAAGATCTACAGAGATACTCACAGGATCACCTTAGCAAGCTAGAGTCCAAAAGTTGTAGGCTAAAACCTGGAACTTCAATCCATGGCGGATACCAAATGAGAGACTCCCTCCTGGCCATACAGAAGACTGGGCAACTTGGAAGACACTGAACAGACTGCATTCTGGCACCACAAGATGCAGAACCAATCTTAAGAAATGGGGCCACAAAGTGGAGTCCATGACATGCAAGTGTGGAGAAGAGCAAACCATAGACCACCTACAGTCTGAGCACTGCCACATGCACAATAGAGGACCTTCTTACAGCAACACCAGAGGCACTCCAAGTAGCCAGCTACTGCTCAAAAGACATTTAGTATAATGCCAAGTTTTTAACTTTGTGTTTTTAAATACATTACAATTGTACCCTCAATTCACTTCCAACATGACATACATTGCTTTTATTTTTCTTCACCAAATCAAGTTTTTAAACTTTGTGTTCTTTCAAATACACCGGAATTGTACCTTTGGTGCGCTTCTGATACAATAAATAAAATAAGGGCTTGAGTCCTGTTCCCCAGTACTGCTTTTGTGGCCACCAGGATTTTCCTGCTTCTTGGCAGAGGGTTGGACTGGATGGCCCACGAGGTCTCTTCCAACTCTGTGATGCTATCATACTATGATTCTATGTCCTAAAGAAAAGCAATGATACTTATCCCACTGGGCAAATAGTAGAATACGTTGGAACTCATATTGCCTTGACTCTGTGCTTGTCACAAACAACTCTGCCATTGTTTAACCAACAGATAAGAACCATTAAGGGAAGTTCTTGCCTTCATGTGCAGATTTGCAGACAGGCTGACACGGCATACCAGCTATTGCAGAATAATAGCGGCTGCACAGATGCCAGCAAATATTGTAATAATGTAAATACACATATGCAGGAAACTTGATTTAACTACTACCAGCTGGCACCGAATATTGCAGCACAGTGCAAAGCTTTATAGCATGCTCTGTAGACCGCACTCTGCCTCGTGCCAGACCACAGCAAAAAAGAATCTGGCAATTTACAGTTCTTTGCAGAAATATGTCCAGGGGGAGGGTTGGGGAAAATAATATAAAAACCCAAGGCTCATGGGTACAGTTCCACTTATGGTTTGTTTACTGCCACATATTCCCCGGCCTACACACAAGTCAGTGTCAGAAACTGCTGGCATAACTGGTAAGCCACTCTATAAAGATCCTTCAGCACGAGACTTACTGACTCACCCACACAAGACGATCACCGGCTTCTCCCAGGCAGGAAGAAGGATATAAAAACTTGCTATATAGTGATATTCTGATTGAACAAGTTGCAGAGGAGTGGAAAAGCTTACACATATGCTACACATTATTTTAGTCACATGCACTATAAACATTGCATCTTGGAATAGTCTAGTAAAAAAAAATTAATCCAGAAAACATAGGCCTATAGATGCCTAGGCAGAAGTAAATGTGTCCAACTTTCTAATCCTCCAAGACAGAACTTTGAAAGTTACTTTTAACAGAATGAATGTAATGGCATGTAGAAGAAATCCATTATTTCAGTGGTACGGTGATGCTCTGGGACTATTTTAAATTTCTGTTTTCGATATAACATTACAAATTCTTTCCCCAGGTAAACAGATACTAGTATTGCTGCCTTAGTTAATCAGACTTTGTGTATCAATGAGACTTAATTTATTCATGACTACTTTTTCCCTTTATAGTAGAGTCTTCCTTATCCAACATAAATGGGCCGGCAGAACACTAGATGAGTGAAAATGTTGGATAATAAGGAAGGATTAAGGAAAAGCCTATTAAACGTCAAATTACATTTTGTTTTTGCAAATTAAGCACCAAAACATCATGTTTTACAACAAATCAACAAAAAAAAGCAGTTCAATACACAGTAACGTTATGTAGTAATTACTGTATTTACGAATTTAGTACCAAAACATCGCAATGTATTGAATCCGGGCGGGAGGCAGACTGCATTAGATAATACAAAATGTAGGATGAGCAAAGGCTGGATAAGCGAAAGTCTACTGTCATTTCACTTAATTTAAAGGTGCACCAGTTGTTAGCCTTAACAATATGCACAAAGCTTATCCGTGTATAGAACCTTCTTCTGCTGGCGATCTTAGAGAACAGTCTGTGAACGTACGATTCTGCTGGTAAAATCTGCCAGCAAAAATACCATAAAGAGCAAGGATGGGACAAGGGAGAGCTGAATGACACCAGATGCAAATCTTATCCAGCCTAGGCATGCAGCCACAAATTTGGGCCACTGACAGCATGATCCAAACTCCCCTAGTTTGGGAGTGGTTTAAATTCAACACAGTTCCAGCTGGCCTAGTGTGAAGCTAAGCTGGTGCCTTGCCAGTTCAAATTGTCCTCTGGACTCAAAGCAATATGATTATCAGCTCACACAAACATTACTTTCCATTTGCTTGGACCCAAACCTGAAAATTATGCATTACTTTTAGTTAGGCAATTTGCCTAGTAGGTGATTCAGTTGTTTAGTGAAAGGTTTTTGGTGTTATGTCCTATGTTCGACTCAAGAGTCAGCATGGTGTAGTGACTGAAGTGTTGGGCTAGGACACTGGGAGACCAGGGTTCAAATCCCTGTTTGGCCATGGAAAGCCACTGGATGACCTCATGCAAGTCACACTCTCTCGGCCTCAATGGAAAGCAAGTGCAAACCTGAACAAAGTTTCATAAGAAAACCTTGTAATAGGGCCACCTTACTATCACCATACTTCGCGGTGTGAGCTTCCACTGTCAGCCCCAGCTTCTGCCAACCTAGCAGTACAAAAACATGCAAATGTAAGTGGATCAATAGATACTAATCCAGCGGGAAGGTAACAGCACCCCATGCAGTCATGCTGGACACATGACCTTGGAGGTGACAACAGACAATGCTGGCTCTTCAACTTAGAAATGGAGATGAGCACCAACCCCCAGAGCTGGACACAATTGGACTTAATGCCAGGGGAAAACCTTTACCTTTACCTAGTATCACCATAAATCAGAAATGGTGAATGACACAGAACAACAATCTTGAATGACACAGAACAACAATCTATGTTTGAAAATATTTGCTTCAGAAAAAGGATGAAGAGAGATGGGAGTCATGGAAAATATTAGTTGCCAATGTCATTTGGATCAATATTCTACCACTAGTTAAATACTTTCCATTAATATTTCTTTAAAAACAAATTCATCCCCAGCTGGTGTTCATTATGTTTGCACCAAAAACAAACCTTTTCTTTTGTCTAAAAATATTGCAATTTAAGGTCCGAATGCATCTTAAACAAAAAAAAAACCCAGTATCATTGGCAGAGAAAATATAAGGTCAGTTGTTGCGGCACAGTTTACACAGACATTTCCTAAGCACAAGCCAACAGCACAATTCCTGTTTGATAGTTCTACAAACTATGCATCTATTTCATTCTTAACTTCATTGTGGCTTCCCAGCCAAAGCCTTCAAAAATATTGATTTACTGCATGAATAGTGTTTGCGATGGCTGATCAAATAATCTGTTTCCAATCAGGCTAATCAATGAGGTTTGAAAGGAATCAAGACCTCCTGTTTGCAGTCTGTGGATGGTGTGTTTTCTCTGATGTATCAGTACATTTACCTTTCACTTAACTGTTTCTTCTGGCAAACCCCAAAGCTCTCTTATAGCATAGAAACCTACTCAAAGTTGTTGCCTCAACAAAATTACTCCATTGTGGTGAGGTTATTCAGTGTGTCACAACAACTTCTTACCGACAATGTCTTCATAAGCGTTCTCTTCTAAAGTGCTTTTAGATCCAAATTTGTGCTGGTTCTCAGTACCATTCTCACTTGGAGAGGTAGGATACAAGGACTGGAGACTTGAAGCGTCTTCAAACTCAAAGGATTTTCTAGAGTTGAGGGAAAAGGTCAGAATAATTTTCTGGTTAGTTGGGCACATTACTTTTAATATGTAATGCAAATATAATAACATCAATTTTCCCTTTTGCACTGTTTTGAAGAATTTGTCTTATGCCATACAGTGAATGTGGATGAGTCATTTATACCACCATGTAATTTACTTCAAAAGGAGACTGCACAAAACAATATACAACTGAGAGAAAAGCACTTATTACATGAACACCTTTAAGATGAGCAAACAGGGCAAGAGAGCTCCATTCTGCTCTTCCTTCTTGTGACAATGCAGAAATGTTGTGTTGTAAACCAGCGGTTGCCAGATATGGGCCTCCAGATTTAGTCAGACTTCAACACCAAAAAGTCCTAACCACTGCCTATGCTGACAAGGACTGCTAGAAGATGAGGTCCAATAGCATCTGAAATAAAAGTGGTCACTTCTGTAGGCAATCAACATGCTTACGTCACACAGTCCACACCTCAAGTGCGCCACATACCTCAAACATACCTTACACAGTTGGCCCTACGTATTCATGGAATCTGCATCAACCATCCACCACTTGAATTTTTTTAATCCAAAAAAACAGACTGTGATTTTGCCATTTTGTATAAGTGATACCATTCTACTACGCCATTGAACATCTACAGTTTTGGGCATCCAGGGAACCAAACCTTAGCAGATACCAAGTGCACACTGGATGCCTCCAGACTACCAAAGCACAACACAGCATATAAGGTACATTTGAGTTTTGTCAGAACAGCTCTTTAGGAGCTCTCCCAGGTCCTGATTGTAATTTCTCCTTGTTACATGTTACCTATGTACCGCTGCTTGTTACTGCCCCGAGCTGCACTCAACACATCCACAGGCCTCAAAAGCACAAGAAGTAATATTATCTGTCACCCGCATTGTTGCTTCCCCAACACTGAGTGTCAGTGATGCAACTATCATAACATCTACTCCCACTCTATATGAAACAAGCTGAAGCTATTTTACTCAAAAGGACAAACAATGACTTCTACAAGATAGTCATTGCTTAACTGAACAGCTTCCAAACGGTGTATGCATTCTATGGTCAACAAGTAATTTTTTCAAATAAAATATCTTTCCTACTGATCTACTCATATTTGCATGTTTTCGAACTGCTAGGCTGACAGAAACTGGGGCTGACAGCAGAAGCTCACACCGCTCCCCGAATTCGAACCTGCGAACTTTCGGTCAACAAGCTCAACAGCTCAGCAATTTAACCCACTGTGCCACTGTGCCTCTCTAGGTTTATTACACTACCAAAATGCAGCTCAAAATTTCTTCTGTTGATGACAATATGTCTAAGGGTCAAGGATATAAGCACTTAGGTACATCTAAGCTATCTGGCTATTATTTTCCTGTTTAAAAAAGTACAACACTTTATTACCAACAGCACCAGATACAAGTGGTTCTCTGAAATGTCACTACCCACCAGAATATTTTATCCAATCACACTGTTCTGGCATTATGGCAGATATAAAAAGAAGACAGCACTCTGGGGTGTACTCAAAATATTTCTTAGCAATCCCCAGGCTTTAAAACAATTGACAAGAATTGTACATCAGAACATATCTTAGATTCAGTGGCCAAAATTCAAAGACCTGCAGGCAGAGTTCTACTTGCACAATAAGGTTCTCATTCATGTATACACAGCCTTTTGTGCACAACTCAAAAAACCATCCCTGAGGCTCCAATAACTTAAGTTGAATACATAGCATGCTGTTCTATGTTGAGATTTCCTTTCCTTAAAAAATAAACTCATGGTCCCAATCTAGCCCCGGATTATGAAGAGCATTGGTAATGGGGGGAAATCTTTTTCTTCTTCTTAGCAGCATCCTCTTTCCACAAATGTTAGGAGGGGTTATTTATTTATTTATTTATTTATTTTGGACTGTAGGGTGCTAAGAAAGAAGATGAGTGAATCTGCAAAAATAGGAGGCACTTTTATGCATGTTAAAGTGTCTTCCTCTCGCTCAACAATTTTAGTTCCATACCAGAATCTGGAATTTAAAAGCAGAGAATAGTAGAATTGCATATACATATTTCCCACTGGTTACATCAGTATCATTGTTAAAAATATTTTATTTCACATTTGTTACATTTTCATTTCTCCTTTCCACTAAAAAGGGGCACTAACCAAAGATCATAAACACAAACTAAGGAACAAACTCACTAAAAGACAAGCCAAATAGCCAGCCTGATGGTAATATATTAGTATCAAAACAAATAAAAAGATTCAGAATGAAAATATACCTTTTCATGGTCTTCCCAGAAGAAATATAATTGGAAAATGATGTTTATGGGGAGTGCACCATACCATCTTGAAGCAACACAAGAGTAATTGCCAGGAGAAAGTGAACAAACACGGAATAATTCCACTTTGGATTTGTTGTTGGGACAGGTTCTGACTACCCAACTGATTTCCTTATCACAAACACAATTCTAGCTTGCCAGACTGGCCTGAGATATTTTTATATTGTCCACCTCAGATCCTGTTGGAAAAGATTTACTTCCAATGTGGCAAGGAAACTATGTATGCTCATGTAGATCCTCTAACCTTCCATCCCTGATTTAATTCTCAGTAGGTGACTGAGCTTGGAATTGGCTTATCAACTGCCAGAAAGACCCATTTCCTACATAACACCAAGGGTTATTTACTCCTGTTAGCCAATGATTTTGTGATCACACTTTATTTCCAGCAAAATGTCACATGCAATGTGTTTTGCATCCCTTCATCACTAAGGCCATAAGCATAAGCTGAATTGATTTTGCATATTAAGGTTCTTACAAATGTTACAAGTACATAAATAATCAAGAAATTATGCAAAACAATCTAACATGTATACTATTGTGTAGTTTTTACAATGTAGTTTTTCCAGATTGCAGCATTTGGGTTACCTTACTGCAGAATTTGTTGTTTGAGCCATTTTCAATATAGAGTGCATGCAGCCCATAAACATATATGTAAGAAGATTTGCAAGCCTTCAGTTCATGAAAAAAGACATGCGAGCTAATATCCATCAGCATATCTTGACAAAAATATGTCTGAACGCATTTTAATATCACTGACCAAAGGGCATGCAACATATGAAAGGTGGGAGCTGCAGTTCAACAACACCTAAATGGCCTCTCCTTTAAATTAGAGCATTAAGTATACTATACAGCAACACAAACATTTTAGCAGGAAAGAGCAAGAGATAATTTTGGCTTGGGATTCAGCCAATGCCATACAGTAGGTAAGCGGGCCTTACATAGTAACAACCATGACAAAAATTAAAAGCAGCCCAACACTTTGGACAATGTCACCTCAGTACAATAGAAAAGTAGTCAAAACTCTCAATTTCTCCAGAATACAGCCTATAGTCTAATTTAGAGGCAACTCTTATCACACTTGTATCCTTTGAAGGCAGCAGCCTATACGCATCAGATCCTGATTAGCAGGACATGAAGCCTTGATTTTGAAGTAGAAAACATGTGGACTAATGAAGCTGACTTTCATTCTTATCTCGGATATATTGCCTTAAATGGAGAAGTCTCTTTGTTAAACAGAACCAAACCCACAATATTTAAGATTCCATCTTTACCTATTTTGGGATTTTCTGTGAAAGCGTGACTCTTTCTTCTGCCTGCGGGTGACAGGAGGAGCAGGAGTCGAGGGAAGAGGCGGAGGGACAGCAGCCAGAGGTGAAGGAGGTAGGCCGTTGCTTGGTTTATTTTTGTGATTCTTGTCAGCTTCATACTCAAAGGTGCGCTTGGGCTTGGGCACAGGGTTAACTGCTGTATTTGCCAGGCTCTCAGGAAGCAGCTTAGGTCCAACGTGTAGTGTTTTACTAGTTTTCTCAGTCTCAGTGGGTGTCTCTGGATTACTCTCACAAGCAACAACACCCCCTGCTTTGCTATCAGTTACATTCTCACTTATGCAATCTGCAGCACCCAAAGTCACAGACTTTTTCCTTCCTCTGTCAACACTATAGCAGCTACTGGGCAATTGAGGGAGACCCCTTCCAGGCTGTTTTTTTAATGCCTGTTCAATCTTCTGTATTCTGTTCAACACAGCAGAGCTCTCTTTCCTGGCATTCCCCTTGAGGAACGTGTTGGTAGACTCACTCCTGCTTGGCCTCTTTTCAAACCTGTGGCAGGAATCTCTGTCCAGAAATTCCTCCTCCTCAGTTTCTGGATAGGAGCATTCAGAAAATGTCCTGCTCATCCTCTGGAACCCTTTGTATTCAAAGGTTTTCTCACTGGAGGGAGAAGGCAACATACTAGGGCAGCTCTCACTGCCTGACCTGTCCCCAGCATCTCTCTTGTCCAAGCATACACTCATTCTAGGCGAAGGCTCCTTGCGGCATTCCCATTCTGTTATCTTCTGCCTGATATCAAGTGCTTGGGAGTGGACGCTGACCCTGCTAATGGAAAGGGTCCGCAGGCTTGCTGCAGTCCCTAAGGAGAGAGTGCTTCGGGTCAGTTGGCGGCTGCCAACTACTTCGCCATCTTGAGTTTCCTTGGCCACTTCCTTTTGGTCTTCGGTCTGGAAAAGAGAGAGCCTTTTATCCAAGCAGCCAATGCTGACAGCTTTGAGGAGGTGACTTGGAGGTTCGGTGTCTGAAGGGGATGTAGAAGTGCTTCTCAAGGTAACCCCCCAGGTCGTCTCGTCCTTGAGGAGCGGCCTGGAATTGGATACTTTGGTGAAACTGCCAGAGCGACAAGAGTCCTCACTGTCACTCAGGGGATATGACGCTGAGCTTCTTGGCTGGTACAGAAGAGGTGGTGGAGAGACTGACTGGCACCTGAAAGTTAGAGGAGAAAAACCAGTCAGCCACCTGGCTACCTAACAATTATTTACCTAAAGGTTTTTTCTAAGACCAAACTTATGGCCTGGACAGTTTGTTACAGTGGCTTCTGAAACAGCACAAGTTTGGTGCTAGAATAAGGCCCCTTCTCTTTCCTTCTATTAAGTGAGCTGTGATATACAGAGCTCCTCAGATCTTTTGAAGATTAGTTCTGACCAACCATTTTCAACTCTCAGTGCAATTCTTGTATATCACAAATCCTTATAAAAACCCTGTAGGGTAGAGTAGAATTACCTCCAGAAACAAAATATGACGTACATTTACACGTTATGACAAACCATGGTTTTTATTAAATGCAGGTTGGAGCCTAAAACATAGATTGTCTTCTCCTTTTCTGATTCCATCCCTTTTGTCAGTTATTATTTAAAGATGAACACTTGAGAAACTAGTCATAAGCAAGCCATTGTTGTTGAATCAGAAGTCAAGAAAGCCATGTTTAAACCAAACAGTGTACATAAACCAACAATGGACCATGGTTTCATACTCTGGTTATGAATCACAGAACCACAGAGTTGGACAACTGGAAGAGACCATAAAGGATATCCAGTCCAATTTAAGCACTCCTGATAAATGAACATCCAGTCTCTGTTTAATAACCAGTAAAGAAGGAAACTCCACCGTACTCAGAAAGCAACATACTACTCTGCCAAGCAGCTCTTACCTTTAGGAAGCTTTTCCTAACGTTTAGGTGGAATCATGTCCTCTGGAGATTTTATGGTTGATTAACAAACAAATAGTTTGTAGAGGCAGATTCACACTTAACAAAAGCCAGATTTCAACAAATTGTATAATGGCTTGTCATGACGTGCAATATTAGACAGTAAGTTTCTGGTTGAGGCAAAGGTTGAACTTTGCACTTAGCTCATATGATAGATATTTTTGGATATTGCTACTGAATATCAACATTGAATCTCAGTAATTGAGGCATTTTTTTTCACAAATCTAGTTAAGTGAAACTAACTGACAACAAAATCTATCAAATAGAAACAGTTTTACAAATTGAAGGCATATTAAAAATTGGTGATGAGTGACTGTTAATGGATATCTCCTCCTGGGCTGTTGCCTTTTACAGTGAAATATGTTTTAAGGCTAACTTTCAATTGTTTCCAAATCATCCTTTCCTAATGAGGCAAGAGAATAAAAATCGTGTTAATATGAAAATATGTATGTATCCAATTGGACCCCCTGGTAGTGCAGTGGGTTAAACCACTGAGCTGCTGACCTTGCTGACCAAAAGGTTAGCAGTTTGATTTCAGGGAGCGGGATGAACTCCCACTATTCGCCCCAGCTTCTGCCAACCTAGCAGTTCAAAAACATGCAAATGTGAGTAGATCAATAGGTACTGCTGTGAGTTTTTCAGGCTGTGTGGCCATGTTCCAGAAGCATTCTCTCCTGACATTTCACCCACATCTATGGCAGGCATCCTCAGAGGTTGTGAGGTCTGTTGAAAACTAGGCAAGTGAGGCTTATATATCTGTGGAATGTCCGGGGTAGGATAAAGCACTCTTGTTTGTTTGAAGCAACTGTGAATGTTGTAATTGGCCAGCAAAGGACAAAGGGATCCTCTCACCTCTGGAGGAGTCTACAGTATACCATGCAGCTGTGGACAAGTCTACATAGGGGTCACCAAGCCCAGCATCCAAACACGAATCAAGGAACATGAAAGGCAGAGAAGTCAGCCTTAGCAGAGCACCTGATGAACCAACTTGGACACAACATATTATTTGAGAACACAGAAGTGCTGGACCACTCTAACAACTACCATGTCAGACTACACAGAGAAGCCACTGAAATCCACAAGCAGAAAGGAGGAGAGCATGAATATGAATAAAATCTGGCTACCGGTATTTTAAAAAAGTCTAAAATCAGGACAGTAAATAAAGAACAGCACAAAAAACAACAACATGGAATTCCAAACAGGAAACAAGCCAGCCAACACCTCCCAGCAAAGGATTCCCCCAGGCAGGAAGCAGCCAGGCTTTGAAGCTGCCAGACTATTCAATGCTAATCAAGGTGGTCAATTGCAATATTCACACTTGCCTCAAACAGACAAGAGTTCTTTCTCCCACCCAGAACATTCATATAAACCCCACTTGCCTAATTTTGAAAAGGCTTTACAACCTCTGAGGATGCATGTCATACATGTAGGCTTTCCCCCCTTTTCTGTCTGTTCTGGCAATCGACATGCTCTGTAAAGGATTCTGGAGACAGCTGCTATGTGTACCTTAAAGCATAGTCCTATTACCCTCCAAATCAAGCTTTTGTTGACACTAAAAGTATGCTTCTCCAGATCTCCTTTAAAATCCTCCCAGTACAAAAGCTACTAAAAACTTCCAGATGGACATAGAACAAAGAAGAATAAAGGTAGCTGAGAGGACATTTTAAAAAGCAGCTTCTGTATTACAAACTCTGTTGACTGAGTTATGCCTGCATTCCCTTATGTATTTCTTCAGAGCAGAGTATTTTGTAGAAGCTCTTCCAGATGAAAAGTTGCCACAAGATGACACAGAAAAGTTGCCACAAGGTTGTGTAAACATAATCTATTTACACAACCTACATGCCCGCAAGCATGGCTGAGACTGTTTTCTTTATGTTGCAAATATTGGTCCTAATTTTCTGGTAAATTGCTATAACTCATTCAAGTGGCATTAAGGACTTTCAAACCAACACTGTATGTTTCTATCTAAATTCATAATACTTAGCTTCTCTCAGTCACTAACACTGCTGCGTTGGGATTGCAACATGCTTCAACTAATAGCCTGGATGTGTTAAAACACGTCATGATGCCTGGAAAGAGAGGAAAATGAAGGAACTTTTACGCTAAATTGTTGTGGCAATCAGACGTAGGTACTGAATCATCTGATTATGAATCCAGATGACCTTTTCTGCAAACAGGAGAAAGAACAGCTCAGCTTTGCAAACAAGAACTTGGAAACAATGGTATACAATGACAAACACACATAAAAAAAGGCTTCCTGCATCCTTATTACTCTAGATCTATGTTTTTTATTATTAGATTTAATGGACAAATCTCCACTTAATAATAGGTTTAGCTGTTAGCACAGGCACAAGCAAACTTTTAAACTTGGGGACCACATGGCGGGCTGGCGCAAGGTGGGTGGGCTGCACAGGGAGGGAGCAGGGGGAGGGCAGAGGGGTTGGTGCAGTGGGTTGGGTTTCACACATGGCAGCTTGCCTCGTCCACGGCTGTGCCCAGGAAGTTGTACTCATCAGCACCAGTCCCAGGCAGAGCCTCTTTCAGGCCTGCACCTTGGCCTCCACTGCCACAACACTCAGCTGCTCCTTGCCAGCACACTCCCCTTCTTCTGGGCCTCTGCCCCTGGTGACAAGGAAGGTAGCTCCTTCTTCTCTTCCTCCTCCTCCACCGCCGCCACTTGGCCATGTGGCTGCCTAGGGCTCTCCTTTCCTCCTGTTCCTATTGTTCTTTTTTCCGAGGGGGAACTTGCCCTTGAGGAAGTTGGTGGCAGCAGAGAAGAAGGGCCACAGTTGAAGGGAGATGTTGATAAGCTGGAATGTGTCCAAACGAGGGCAACTAAAATGATCTAGGGTCTGGAGAACAAGCCCTATGAGGAGCAACTTAAAGAGCCGGGCATGTTTAGCCTAAAGAAGAGAAGGCTGAGAGGAGACATGATACCCATGTATAAATATGTGAGAGGAAGTCATAGGGAGGAGGGAGTGAACTTGTTTTCTGCTGCCCTGGAGACTAGGACATGGAACAATGGCTTCAAACAACAAGAAAAGAGATTCCATCTGAACATGAGGAAGAACTTCCTGACTGTGAGAGCTGTTCAGCTGTAGGACTCTATGCCCCGGAGTGTGGTAAAGGCTCCTTCTTTGGAAGTTTTTAAACAGAGGCTGGATGGCGATCTGTCGTGGCTGCTTTGAATGCAATTTTCCTGCTTCTTGGCAGGGGGGTTGGACTGGATAGCCCATGAGGTCTCTTCCAACTCTATAATTCTATGGTTCTATGATTCTATGATTATAGGAGGTAGAAGAGGAGCCACCCTCCTCGTTGACAGGGGTGTAGGCCTGGAAGAAGGGGAATATGCTGGCTTCATGCATGGCACTGAGGACTAGCTAGGTCTGTGGAGGTGGAGGCCAAGGTGCAGGCCAAGAAGAGGCTGTACCTGGGGCTCGGGCTGCAGCCGCTTGTGACTTCCCTGACCGCCTCTCAGCTTGAAAGCAAGAGCCAATTTTTTTGTAAACACCTGAAAAATAAACTAAGAAAAATACATTATTATTTTTTTAAAAGCTTTCAAGAATTGTGTGGGATTCCAATTTGTATGGATGAATACAGAGTGTTGAGGGGGAGGATGAAGGGAATGTACTGAAAATACAGTTTCTTCGAATGCCAAGAATGTACAGCAGGGAGATGTGTCCTACTCTGTTCACCAGCTGCATAAAGACAAAGAGAAAGGCTATTTATGTGTTCCTTTGTTGTTGTTTGTGCCTTCAAGTCATTTCCCTCTTATTGCAACAGTAAAATTTGTTCAGAAGGGGGCTGCATCTGCCTTCCCCTGAGTGTGACTTGCCCAAGTGGGTTTCCATGGTTGAGCAGAAAATGGAACCCTGGTCACCAAAGTCATACTCCAATGTTCAAACAATGTTCAAACCATGCTGGCTCTTACATAGGAAATCGTGAACTTTTTGTCTTTTTTAAAAAGTACCTCAACAGTGCTAGTGAATCTGAGGGTGCTTTTCTGTGGAACTATCATGATAAAATGGAAAGCAAATTTCAGAATATTTTTAAACTTTTTTCTCAGCTGGATAGAGCAAAAATGACCATAAAAACTTATTTGAATACTGTTTCTGCATTATGTATTCAAACTAGACCAAGTTGGGCAGCTTGAGGTGATTCCATTCATTACTCCTGTTGATGTGGCTGGGAATGTTGTATCAAATGATGAAGATAAACA